ATTTTTAATAACTAAATGCAACTGGAATAAAGATTCCATCTTAAAACTGTGTATTTTTATTCTTTTTAAATTTTAAATATATTTTAAATTGCAGTATAATTTACCAAATAATATCCATCATCTAGTAAATATGAGCATTAATTCACTGTTATTTTCATTGTGATATACTTAGCAAAAACCTTGTAAAATACCATGGCAAATGATAATATTTTGTTTGTAAAACTACTTCATGTATACATTATAAAGTAATAAGTAGCATAATATCTGAAATTTTTTACTCCCTGCAACTTTTTTTTAAAAATTTTTTATTGCGTTTTAGGTTTTGGGGTACATGAGCAGAGCATGTAAGAGAGTTGCGTAGGTACACACATGGCAGTGTGCTTTGTTTCCCTTCTCCCCTTCACCCACATTTGGCATTGCTCCCCAGGCTATCCCTCCCACCTCCCCCTCCCACTGGCCCTCCCCTTTTCCCCCCAATAGACCTCAGTGTTTAGTACTTTCCTTTCTGTGTCCATGTGTTCTCATTTTTCATCACCCACCTATGAGTGAGAATATGCGGTGTTTCATTTTCTGTTCTTGTGTCAGTTTGCTGAGGATGATGTTCTCTAGATTCATCCATGTCCCTACAAACGACACAAACTCATCATTTCTGATTGCTGCATAATATTCCATGGTGTATATGTGCCACATTTTTCCAATCCAGTCTATCATCAATGGGCATTTGGTTTGATTCCAGGTCTTTGCTATTGTAAACAGTGCTGCAATGAACATTCGTGTGCATGTGTCCTTATAGTAGAACAATTTATAGTCTTTTGGATATATACCCAGTAATGGGATTGCTGGGTCAAATGAAATTTCTATTTCTAAGGCCTTGAGGAATCGCCACACTGTCTTCCACAATGGTTGAACTAATTTACACTCCCACCAACAGTGTAAAAGTGTTCCTTTTTCTCCACATCCTCTCCAGCATCTGTTGTCTCCAGATTTTTTAATGATCGCCATTCTAACTGGCGTGAGATGATATCTCAATGTGGTTTTGATTTGCATCTCTCTGATGACCAGTGACGATGAGCATTTTTTCATATGATTGTTGGCCTCATATATGTCTTCTTTCGTAAAGTGTCTGTTCATATCCTTTGACCACTTTTGAATGGGCTTATTTGTTTTTTACCTGTAAATCTGTTTGAGTTCTTTGTAGATTCTGGATATCAGCCCTTTGTCAGATGGGTAAACTGCAAAAAATTTTTCCCATTCTGTTGGTTGCCGATTCACTCTAGTGACTGCATCTTTTGCCGTGAAGAAGCTGTGGAGTTTCATTAGGTCCCATTTGTCTATTTTGGCTTTTGTTGCCAATGCTTTTGGTGTTTTGTTCATGAAGTCCTTGCCTACTCCTATGTCCTGGATAGTTTTGCCTAGATTTCCTTCTAGGGTGTTTATCTGCCAGGTCTTATGTTTAAGTCTTTAATCCATCTGGAGTTAATTTTAGTGTAAGGTGTCAGGAAGGGGTCCAGTTTCTGCTTTCTGCACATGGCTAGCCAGTTTTCCCAACACCATTTGTTAAACAGGGAGTCCTTTCCCCATTGCTTGTTTTTGTCAGGTTTATCAAAGATTATATAGTTGTAGATATGTTGTGTTGCCTCTGGTGCCTCTGTTTTGTTCCATTGGTCTATATCTCTGTTTTGGTACTAGTACCATGCTGTTTTGATTACTGTAGCCTTGTAGTATAGTTTGAAATCCGGTAGTGTGATGCCCCCTTCTGTGTTCTTTTTGCTTAGAATTGACTTGGCTATGCGGGCTCTCTTTTGGTTCCATATGAAGTTCATGGTGGTTTTTTCCAGTTCTGTGAAGAAAGTCAATGGTAGCTTGATGGGGATAGCGTTGATTCTGTAAATTACTTTGGGCAGTATAGCCATTTTCACGATATTAATTCTTCCTAACCATAAACATGGAATATTTCTCCATCTGTTTGTGTCCTCTCTGATTTCGTTGAGCAGTGGTTTGTAGTTCTCCTTGAAGAGGTCCCTTACATTCCTTGTGAGTTGTATTCCAAGGTATTTTATTCTTTTTGTAGCCATTGTGAATGGCAGTTTGTTCTTGATTTGGCTTTCTTTAAGTCTGTTATTGGTGTAGACGAATGCTTGTGATTTTTGCGTATTGATTTTATATCCTGAGACTTTGCTGAAGCATGCAATTTTCATCTTTAAAGTGATAGTTGCTCCCTACCCCCAAACTTTTTGTCTAGTTCTGCATTCTTAGTTATTATTTTCGTGGGTAGATTATTTTGGAATGATTTTACTAGACTTTAGAAAAAAGTAGAAATATTTGTATATTCATCACTCAATTTCTCTTAATTTTAACATGTTGCATAACAATAGTAGATTTACCATAATTCAGAATTAACATTGATAAAATACAGTTCATTAAACTACAGATGCTATATTTATTTCAACATATTTTCCCACTAACATTCTTTTTTGGTTCCAAAAAACAATCCTGGATAGCACATCAAATGCTCCAGTAGTGTCCTTGTGTAGGCTTTTCTGATCTGTCACAGTCTCAATTTTTCTCGAATTTTTTTTATCCTGTTACACTTTTGAATAATATTGGTCAGGTATTTTGAAGAATGTCCCACAATTTGTCCTTCATGTATTCTTACAGTTGGATTGAGATAATGCGTTTTGGAAGAATATTACAGGAGTGAAGCATTCTTCTCCTTTCATGACATAATGGGTACATGAATAGCAACATGACTTTTCACAGTGATAGTAGACTTGGTCAGGTGGTTAAGATGCTATCTATTTTCTGAATTTCTCCTCTATAAGGAGTGTTTATTTTCCCCTTTTCATTCATTATTTTTTTTGTAAATGTTTCACTAATTGAAACTCACACTCAAGGAGACAGTATATTAAAAAAATTGGAAGGCTTGTCCAAGGAAAACTTTTCCTGATTCTTACTTGTTTATTCATTTATTTGTTACTTATTTAATCATTTATTTATACAGAAATGAACTCCTGGGTATATTGTTTTTTGAGTTTAGAACCATTATCATTAGTAGTTTTGTTGCTTGAATTATTCAAACTCTGGCTATGAGAATTTAGATTAACTTCTGAATTATTTTGACTATTTCTTTTTTTTTTTTTTCTTTGACATGGAGTCTAGATTTATTGTCCAGGCTGGAGCGCAGTGGCACAATCTCAGCTCACTGCAACCTCTGCCTCCCAGGTTCAAACAATTTTCCTGCCTCAGTCTTCCAAATAGGTGAGACTACTACAGGCAACTGCCACCATGCCTGGCTAATTTTTGTATTTTTAGTAGAGACAAGGTTTCACTATGTTGGCCAGGTTGGTCTTGAGCTCCTGACCTCATGATCCACCCACCTTTGCCTCCCAAAATGCTGGGATTCCAGGCGTGAATCACTGCACCTGGTCAACTATTCTTTTTTTTTAATAAAAAATATATCTGGAGAAATATTATATGAATCATGTTTAGGTTGTTTCACTATAATGCAATAACTTAACACCACATCATTCTGCCTACAAATTCAAATTACACTTTTTGGTCATTAATTAATTTAATACATGTTTACTGATCACCTACTTTATGTTAAAAACTGTTCTAAGTGCTGCAAATAGTTTAGGGGATGAGGTCAGAGATGTCATAGGGTGCTGGGTGATGCAGAATCTTGCAAACCTCTGCAAAAAAAAAAAATTTTTTTTTCTTCTGCTGAGATTAGAAAGCCCTTGCAGTGTGTTAAACAGATTAAGTTACCCACTTTATATAGAGCCAGGTCACTCTAGCTGCTGTGTTAAATATAGACTACTGATTGACTAGTGTTGGGATATGAAGAGCAGTTTGGATATGCAATTCAGGTGAGCTTCATGCTTGGACTGTAACTGTGGGGATGGTGAGCAGATCGTGTCATGGATCTCTGGTGGATTAGATATGACATGTGGGAGAAACTGAGAAATTAAAGACGATTTCATGTTTGAACAACTACATGATAAAGTTGCACAATGTGTGCCTGCATATATATGTAAAAACTCAAACATGAGTATATTTTATATTTTTGAAATATAAAATATTGAATGTAATGTAATATATAAAAGATTAAGTGTGAACATAACTGAACAGTATGAAGTGACTCCCTAGGGCATAATATGTAATAAAATTATAAATGAATACATTATTTTAGTTGTTTATAAAGATTAGCCTTATGTAGATAACAGGTTTCCTCCTCTATGTTTTTTGTCATTTTCCTTTTCATGTTTTCATTGGAAACTACATTCCAGAATATTTCCATCAATATAATTTTGAATCAGTGATAATTTATTTCCATTTTTTTTTTTTTTCAGTTTTTTTCTTCACCACAGTTACATGTCTCAGAAGACTAGGAGTCTTTCTAAAATCTCTTTGCCACGATGTTTGTCACATGTCATTGTTCATTCTGAGGCTACTTATCTGTATTTTCCGTAACATAGTTTTGTGGAAAATGCAATGCTTACTACTGATTTTATATATCAATTCAATAGCTTTCCAAAGATATACAATGTTAAAGTAATGGTTACTTCTTTTCTCCAGGTTACAAAATTGTTCTCCACAAATTATAATCTCATAGTTTGCTATCTTTTCATTCTTTATGTACAGTGAAGAATTCACCGTTTTATATCGTGTAACAGTTATTTTGTTAGCTGAGATTTATTAGTATTGATAAAAATTAATTTTTCATTTTAGAATTTTTAAGTGCACATGCACATATAAAATATTTATATATAAAACATATATAAACATATGTATGCCACTTATCTTTACCTCAGACAACATTTTTTAAATGTTATATAATAATGTACTAGGACTTTTAAAAATTTAACTTTAAGATAGCACGTTGCTAATGTTAAATGCATCTCAATGAGAATGTGTGTGCGTGTGTGTTTTTGAAGGTTAGTGCATCCAGAATTCAGAGATAATGAAAATGTTCTGTCTATTCTTGCTTTGGAATTTCAGATAAGAGTAGTCATATTACAAAGCAGAGATAAAAGGAGAAAGCAAGAAATAATTCAATTGCTGGTAAAGTAATACTTTACACAGCAAATCATAATAGGATGTTATATATAGAAATAAGATCAGTCATTGTTTTCAAGCCTGCTAAATTAAACCGAACTCTTGGAATGGCATACCATTTGACCTTTTGAAGGTTCTCCAGCAGTATTTAACTGGTGCAAAAGGAACACACTTGCAATTGTCTACTTTTGACATGACAGATCCTCCTGTTAGTTCACACAATGTTCAGAAGGCAGAAGTCCCTCGCTTCAGAACGCAAGAAAGAACTATTTTCCCAAGGAGCTACACGGTTCATACTGAGGAATGATATGAGAAATTTTCACTTTTTGTCAAGACTTGTACTATCAGCGGGCCCTCTAAAACCGACTCCAGCAGTCAAACATTCAAAAAAAATTTACTTTGAGATTGAAATACTTGATGCTCAAACAAAGAAACAGATATGTATTCTGGATAAGGTGAGTTTTAAAAATGTGTTTATTTGTTTCTTCTCTATCCCAAATATTATTGATTGTTTGATTAAATCCTAACACGCCTGTTCTAAAAACATTCCTGTCTTTTAACCTTAATTTTGTGGCAAACAGGATGCATACTTTATGCATTATTTTAATAGAAGGTGTTCAATGCATTTCACACACTCAAATTAATTACATCATAGATAATAATGAGGTATTGTCATTGATACGTCAATAGTATGCTGTTATTGAAACCACTATCCACAGGGATAATTACAAACGCTTAACCTTTTTACATACATGAAAAATGTCTCTAGGTTTTTGTCTTTGTGTAGTTCATTGTACATACAAATTACCATAGAGTTTGATTAGTTTCTATAGAAAATAGTAAGCCAAAGTCACAGAAGTTGTTAGAAGTAATAGGTAATATATATTAAAAGATTAATCATTTCAACATTATTTTGAATTGATTTTTAATGATTTTTTTAAAATAGTGACCACCTCACTTTTTATGAAAGTTTACTTGCTTGAAAAATACTATTTAAGTTCATGAAAATTATGTTTTGAAATGTTATTCATTCAAATCCATATCCATAGAATTTGTACTAAAGAATGAGAAAATACATTCTTAGGTTAGAAAACTAAATTATGAATATATGTTTATATATTAGATAACAAATGCATAAATAATATTTCAAGCACTTTCAGTGTTTAATAAGTTTGAAAAGTACTATTAATTTAACTTAATATGAGAAAGACATATTTGTATAGGTAATAATATAGAGCTTGATCTTGTTTTACAAAAATATTGAATACATTTTTGTTGCTTTGTTCTAAAAATAAAATGCAATCACTTATTCCATTCAAGCTTGCTCTAGCTAGGTTTTTAGCAAAAAGAAAAAGAGAAGAAATTATTTGGTCCATTTGTTAATAATTGCCAAGTAAATGATATATAATTTATTGTTTAGTAATTATAACACTATGAGCAGTTTATAAATTGAGTTATATCAACTTTAATTCATAGAGGGAAAGGAAAGATTAAAACCTTTTATAAGTTCATACAGGTCGTGAATGGCACTTAAAGATCCAAAACCATTTCTATGCAGTTTTAAATTATATGCTTTTTCTATAGTTCTACTGAGGCCATATGTAAGCAATGAGTATTTATTATATAAAATATAATTTTGATATATTAGTTTCAGAACTGGTATAATTTACTTTTAATATCAAGGTAAAGTTTTTGGATTTTTAAATATCATACAGGAATTAGAAAAAGTTTTTTTTAAAGTGCCCTTCAGATGTTACTAATATTTGTAATACTCCACTATGAAAAACACAAAACTTACAAGAAAAACACAGTTAAATCCAGGGACACAATGCAACAAATGGAATGAAAATCAAACAAATCAAGGATTTCCAAAGACTAGGATTCTAAAATGATACTAGTTATTGTGTCGTTTCTGACATGTGTCCAGACCCTGACAGGCAATCCACCTTAAAGTAATGGAAAAGTAACAAATTCCTAATTATTTGCCTCATACAAGATAATTTTTTATTATTGAGATTTTAGTTGAAGGTAAAACAAGGATTTTTACATTTTTAGGTGTTATTACATTGCAAAAAAAATTAAACATTTAGAAGAAATGAAATGTACACATTCATTATTTAGAGAAATAATTTTGCATGAACTGTGATAGTACTGGCATTCACATCTCAAGTGGAAGGTCTTTATAGAAACCTAGCAGGCTGCATAGGGGATTAACACTGGATTGCCATTATCCTTCATTGCACAATCACCCCTACTTACTGTGCAATTTATTGCATTTAATCTTTGACTTCTACGTAGAACTGGATCTTGGTTTTAGTTTTGTAAATTGATAAACTCTTTCGGAATAGTACTGAGACACTTAAGAGAAAGAGTCTTTTAGATTAAATTTTATTTTATTTTTTGATTAAGGGTTTCTAACATTTTTCATTTGTAAATATAAAAACGACTGATTTTTAAAATTATTGTTCCTGATTTAATTTTTCTTAGGCAAATTAACAACTTTATAGTAAGATCATATTAAGTACCCTTCACTGTATCTGGCTTTACCCAGCGTAAAAAAGATATGCTGCTTATAAGTTAGTTACTGTCTTTCAATACTTACTCTGCTGTAAAGCAGTACAAATTACAGAATAATATACACATTTTTATCCAACTTCATTGACTTTTTCCTTTCTTTATTTCTGATTCTTCATCTGACTTACTAGGTACGGACTTTCAAGAACCCAGTCATCACAACTTCTCCTCTGCAACAATTTACTTTATTGAGTCTCATAATTAAAAAAAAAAAAATTTCTAGTGATGACTCATACATATATACTGTAACCTGTTATTTTCCTTGGATTATAAATCTATATATCTGTATACTGATTGAATCTATTGAGCTATCTGGATGTTTACCAGCATCTCAAACTTAATATCTCTAAAACTGACCACTTGATCTTCTCCCAAACATCTTTCACAGGGCTACTTAAGCCAATAAGTGACAATGACATCCTTCAAATAGCTCAGGCCAAACACTTGAGAAATCATGACTTGTCTCTTAATCTCACACCTCACATACTAACCATCTTCTTGGCACTAACTTCAAAATATATCACCCCTTCTACTTCCAGCACTCCTGAATCTTCCCCCTACTTGTGTCTTTATCACTTTCAATGTATCCCCTGCATAAAAACAAGAACTAGCCTGTTAAATCCTGGCAGATATCATTCACTCCTCAAAACTAGTCAATGCTTTTCTTCAGGTTTTGACTGTTGAAATTCTAGGAGAGTTTTCCTGACTACTAAGAGAGCAAGGCCAGCCAACACTTTTTATTACTCTTCCTTGTTTCATTTCTTTACTAGACTTATTGCCATCTAACCTACTATTTATTTATTCTTTTTTCATTTAGTTCACTATTTGGCCTACTCTTAGAATAGCAGTACAAAAATGTCATTTTCTTTTTGTTTATAATACACTATTGTATTTTCAGCATTAAGAGCAATGCTTGACACAAAGAAAGGGTTTAACCAATATGTCTTGAATAAATGCACACCTGTTCAAGGAATTTGTGAATTTGACACCAAATTCACGTGCAGTAGTGATAGTTTTGAGATGGAGGAGTATAATATTTGAACATAAATTTTATGATTTTCTAAATCAAATCAAATTATTAGAGTATATATTCATACATTCACAGAAAAAGACGTTTTCTCAAATCATTTTACCAAATGCTCAAATTCTCTTCAGCTTACCCTGAAAACAAATATGTATAATTTACTTTGTGTTAGTGTATAATTCCTTATTAGACAATCATGTTCTGATGACAATTTTAAGAAGATTTTCCTAAAGCAGGTAGGGATATTTATTTAGCTAATTTAATTAGCTTCCATGAATAATTAAAATGACTAATCATGGATAAAAAATTGAGAGCTGATTTAAAATAATTGTTAAATACCATTTTAAGATATTTGTTGGAACATAAAATATGTGAGATTGTAGGAAAAACAAATTCTAAAAATATAATAATGAATAATTTCCAGTTGCTGCCTACTGTTGTCTCACTTCTGTCTTTTAAAATGTCAGAAGCTTATCTACTGCTAAGTCAGTGATTCAATAGCATGCAAGAACTCTAAGAGCCTGAACTGATGAATGTTAAATGTTTCCAGTATCATCTTATTTTATTTTATTCAATCTTTTCTGCAAGTAACTTGACCTCAAGAGCCATCTTTCTCCTATTGTTTTATTTTTTTGTGTCAAAAGTATCAAAGGCTTTTAAAATATTTCTTATGCATAAAATAAAGCATTCAATAATTCTCTAATTCTTCTAATAGTAAAAATAAGAATTATCATCAGAAAAGAGTAGAAAATATTACATGGTAGTAAGAGTGCATATAAATAATACCTTTGTAACCATAGAAATTAAGACAATTCTTAATTTTTGACATTGCCATTTTATACTTTACCTTGTACATGATACTTAGCATATTCATGCCTTAGTTTGTTCTTCTGTAAAATGGGAATAGTATCTGCCTTAGAATGGCCTAATGGCAGTTTTCAGAATTTCATGTACATGTAAATGACAGTATCATTTTCTCTTTTTCTTTTTTCTCTTATTTTTCCTTCTCTTTTCCTCCATCTACTCTTCTGTCTCTTCCTCACATTCCTGTTCCTCTTTTCCTCCTCTCCATGTTCCTCCAGTCTTCTTTCTCCTACTTATAATGATGTTTCATGATATAAGAGTTAATCAAAAGCATATTGGAGTTGAATTCAGAAAGACTAGACAGAATATTAATATAAATCTGAGGGTGTGATTTCTTTTTCCTTAGGCATGGTCTGCTTTCTCTGACTCATACTCATTTTTATAAAACAGGAAAACTTTCCTGGATAAGTTATATTTATGTGTGTTCTAGATAGTGTATAAGAAGAATATAACTGGGAGATATGTCTGAAGATGAAATAATTTACTCTGTGTGTGTATGTGTGTCTGTGTGTGTGTGTGTGTTGGCAGGGAGGGAAGAATATTGTTTGTCTGCTTGCTTGCTTACTAGCTAGCTTGCTCTCTAATTCTGAGTGCATACAAGTAGAGAGGTAATTAGAAATCATCATTTTTTTTTCTCATTTTAAGTTGGAGATTCCTGTGAGATATACAAGCAGAGTTAACCATTAGCCCTCTGCCTGCAAAGAACTCGGGAGAGTGGTCATAGTTAAATATATTGATTTGGAAATTAGAAATGTATAGGTGATCTTCATAGCAGTTGTATTAGAGAAGATACATTTGTAAAGAACAATGTAATAAGTAGTAAGAGAAAAGAACCAGTTACAGAAGGCTGAGAAACTTCAGCATGTAAGTGTCTTACATAAAAAGATGACAAGAAAAACCAGAGAGATAGAAACATGGAGAATGTGGCATGAGAGAAACTTCAGCAAGATAATCTAAGTAAAAAGGACAAATTAGGGGTGTCGAATATGGCTA